AAAAGGCTAAATTAAGAGTACTTAGAAGCCAGCAGAGGATTACATCCGTATGCAAGCCAGTAACTGAATGCCATCCAGCCACTATCATGCTGAGAAATGAGAAGATGACAGCTCTGGTTTGTAACCCCGTGACCTACTGCATCATCTGCAGCCAGCATGATCAAGTTCTTCAAGAACAACAAACGGAAATTTATATCACAAGATAGAAATCATCAGCTTGTCATCAAGCATTATTCAACTTAAACAGTTGTGTTTGTGACTTAAACATTTTTCTTGTTGTTGTGAGGTCAAGTGGCCAGTGATGCAACTGTGGATGTACGATTTTAATGGTTTAATTTATATAACTGCTTGTTTCTACAGATCTGGAAATAATCAAACCTGCGTGTGGCGAGTTAAATTAAAGTAAACAGAAAAACCTGTGATTAATCACAGTTAATGGATGATTTAGCAAAGGTAGCAACTTTATTTTGTTCCCTTAAAATATCACTTAAAAAACACTTTTTATATTTATGCAGGTTACCTTTGATATTTAAACTAGTGCAACAAAAAACAACAGCTAAAGAGATCTGTAAGAATAAAATATTTTTTTAGGGCCCTAGAAAATATTATAGTATTTAATGCAATGTTATTGTAAGAAATGTCAAATTTTGTTTTTTTTATTTGCCAAATGTTCAGTAATTTTAAGATAAGACGATTTTGGGGAATGTTTGTTTCTGTTATTTCAATGACTAAATACCCTAATTAATATTAGAACTAGGATTCCAGTTGCTCTAAAAGAAACCGCAAAACAACAGTGTAGAATGAGAAGGACATTTTTAAAAAATGAAGACAGAGACGAGAGCCACCAGAAGGTGGAGGGAGACGAATCGAGCCGGTTGGTTGGGTGAGATGAAGAAGCGCCGAGTGAGTGGCCGCAAGGAGACGAGGAGAGGGAGAGAAGCAAAGCTGATGGAGCTCCTGAGCAGAACAAATGTGTTCAGAGCTGCTGAATATAGGTCACACATCTCCAGTGACGGTTTCCCTCCCTCTACTGAACCAGATTCCTGCAGAAGCTGCACACTTTACATCAAAGATCATTATATTCAACCTGCATCAAAACAGACTCTCCTTAATTCCCCCTTTGTAACACCATTTAGAGAAATAATTTTAAAAAAAACACACAAATAGCAAGCTTGTCTAAAAAGTCAGATTTCAGACTATGTCAGATTTGAGCGTGTTTTATATGGTTATAAAACACATATATGTTTCTCCACAAAGTAATAACTTTAGTGGATTTATATACCTTTGTATATGAAGACATTATGTTTTGTTTCACAACATAAAGGACAGAGGGATGCTTAATACGTACGTTTGTGCATGTTGGTATCTGGCACTTCTGCTAATGCCAAAAGAGCCCCAGAGACTAAATATTGTCTATGTTAGTCAAACAGAGGGCCCCTCTTGAAAGCCCATCTGTTTACTGTGCAATACACACCTGCCATCTGCACATAGACTCAGGAATATTTCCAGATTAACTGAAGCTTCTTCGTTGGAAAGGTTTAGTTAAAACCTTAAGTTTAAATAAAAGCTTACCTTACATTTATTTTACCTTAACCAAAAGCCATAAAAGAATATAAACACCAGCCACTTTCTTAGGTAAACTTTGCTAGCGTCTTTTAGATGTCGTCAGAGCCTTAGTTTTTGATAATATCAAACAAGTACTGCAGAATGGTCAGCATGATGTAAATGTCCCTTTTTCTGTGATCTTAAAGGTGCTTTACTGAATAGAGAGAGATCTGGTAACTGGAGAACAGTGAGCTCAACACGTACAGGAAACCAGTTTGAGATGTTTGAGCTTTGCAACATTAAGCGTTCTTGTTGGGAGTAACAATAAAATGATTGGTAAACTGGACACCTCTAATCATCTAATAGGCTGTGGCATTTAAGCAAAATATGCAAACAAATTCTCTCTTTACATTCTGAACATTGCAGCTGAATTAATCAAATTACGCCACAGTTTTCCAGTCTGTGGTTACTAAACAGGGCTGACACCTAGTGGGGTCTCCTGCTGCTGTAGTTCATCTGTTTAAAAGGTTAGACATCTCGTCCATTCAGAAATGGTATTCCAGATGCTTTGATTGTAACAATTAGCTGCCATTGCCTGTTTATCGTTTCAAACAAATTTTCCTCTGACCTTTGACATCAACAGCACACTTCCATCCTCACAACTGCTGCTCACTGGATGTACTCCTCTTTTTCTGACATTCTCTCTAAACCAGAGACGTAATAGTGAGAGAAAAAAACCCGGTAGATCAGCAGTTTTTGAAATGCTTAGACCAGCCAGTCTGGCACCAACAACCGGGCCATGTTTAAGGTAATTTAAATCCTCTACCTTCCCCCCTATTGTGATGCTCAGTATCATCTTCTGCAAGTTATCGTCGTCAAGCACTTTCTCCACACTATTTTACATACAGCATATAATACATGTTTTGTCCTCACCTCCCTTCCTCCTGCTTGGCCTCTGCGTAGAATTTTAGTAACTTATTACGGATGGATTAGATGTGATATTTTTCCACCAATCAGCTTTCTCCAACTTATAAAGAATATTTAAACAAATCTACCCTCATATTATAGACTTTTTATTTGTTTTAAAGTGCCCGAGTTGGAGACTTAACCACTTTTGACACATATGCAGTGGCATTAAAAAGCAGCAATGACAAGATTTAAAAAATATATATATTTTTACAGCTCTGAACAGGTTTTCTGTTGATTTCATGTGCAGCAAATGTAGGATGCCACACGAGACTGAGTCGGCATCCGAGTGAGTCCCGCATGTGCCCTCCACCCTGTTGGTGCTGCAAACAGAGAGACTGGCTTACATGTTTCACAGCATTTTAGTCTTAGCAATCTTAGATGATTTCCTCCACATTTACTCGTTGGAGGGAGCAAAAAGCAGTGGTTTGCTCACTGAATTTAATAGTCCCACACTGAAGAAAGACTTTGAAAACTCCTTCATAAATTATAAAATCCTAAAAGGTTCAGATGACACCTTTCTGAAGTTTCTAAATATGTAAACGCTAGCAAACTCTTAGTTCTATCTACTTAGTTTTATAATTATGCTCAGAGTTTTCTCCAAATGGAATCTTCGTCTCATTTTTAGTTTGCAGTGCACATTGTTTTAAATCTGCCATATTGCACTCCAGGCCAACCCAGTTTGAAAAAAATGGTGATAATACAGTAGTTTAATGCCACCTGACATTTCATGCTTGACTGGCGGGCCACCCATCACATTTTCTGCCTGGTTGAGAACAACAGGGGGCCGAGCTCAGCTGTTCATCCTCTTTGGTTTTAGGGAATAGAGCCACAAATGGAGTCCTGCAAAGGTATTAGACGGTGGAGCGAAGAGAGGGAATAATCGGAGGAGTCAAACTAAGTGGAGTCAGAACGGACTACTTCACTCGGTGCTCAGTCCTGCTGCATGAAATCAGGCTGGTGGGTATCAAATATGCAGCGCATGCAGGGCTCCATCATAACTCAATGAGTATGTCCATTTTCAGATCTCACAGAAGCTTTCAGCATGTGATGTTGGGGCTGCAGAGCTGATTGTGTGGTGGTCTGCAAATCAATGCTAGGATCAATATATATTACAGAAGAAATGCATTGTGCTGTGGCCGTATGGCAACCGAAAGGCCTTTGATGGTCAGCCATATTTTACCGTTTAGCGTTTTCAGAGAAGGGACCTGCATGCAGAGAGGTGACAGCTCGGACACTTACAAAACCTTAACGATAACAACTTCGATCTGCTTTCTTGTCCCAGATGCAGAAGGGCATCTCCACAGCATAATGCTGACACCATGTGAGCCTACATTGGTCATAGTCTGAAAATTGCCAAACCAAAGCGTTGTCTGCCACATGTTTGCTTTCTGCCCTTACATAACTTGTGGCACACTTGGATTAATTTTGGCATTTTTTTTTCACTGTGGTTTTCTTTTTGCCTCTTCGTGACATTAAGTATCCAGTACTTAATACCACAAATCTCTTTCATGTGATAATTTTGCACTAGTTTGTGTTGATCTGTCCAACAAAATCCCAATGGAAAAAAAAACACTGAGGTTTGTGGCTGGGAAAATGCGGAGTTCATCTGCACCACCAGCCGCACATACTCAGAGATTTCATGACATCACTGCCAAAGTCACAAGCTTTTAAACCCATATCAGATTAACTTAAAATGGGATGGAGTGGCTGGGGTGGGGATGGGGATAAGTAGCTTGGAGAGGACAGATACTGCCAATGAGTAAGACTGCTTTTCATGAGTGGGTGATAACGAGTGAAATAACAAAGGTAGCAACACTTGGCATGTTTCACCCAAGTGAACAATGATAACTTAAACAAAGCTGGATTTATTCATTTTAATTCATTTGAAAACTTTTCATTAGATAACTGGGCCTATTGTTCAAGGATATCAATTGGTACATTCCATCTCCACTAAGAATCCATCCCCCTCCTCCGTCCTGCTGAACCAACCCATACCCACCCATGGATCCCCCTACCATCCCATTTACGGCCCAGTCAAAGCTTCTCTCTTCTGTATATTCTGAGACGACTGTTGCTAATCACCGCCGCTCTCTGCCTTTCCTTCACAGATCGGCTTTAATCCGAAAGCTTTATGGATGCAAGAGCCAGAGCCAGCCCTCCTTTTTGGCCAATTTTCCTGCGCTTCATTTGCCCCGACTCCACCGACTGCCAGGCCTTGGTGCTCTGCAGTGATAACAAAATGAATCAGGCGCTTTATTAACAACACGTGTGAAGATCTACAACTGGACGTAGTTCTGTTTTTCCTTCTTCTTCAACATGACGTGAATCAGAATGCAAAGCGAAGGGGGTGGGGGGAGAGGCACCACGCAACGCATCTCTCAGCAGCCCTTTAAACCAGCATCGACGCGAACGCGTGCTTCATGCATTCGTCTTCGCGCGTTAATGTTTATCTCCCGACGCAATGACACGGATTCTGTAAGGCTCACCTCTGTGAAAAACGACTCCATCCCGTCCTACTCCTCCCAGACGACGCGCGCCCGGCCCGGCTGAGCGCACACACCGGCTCCGCTGTCGGGTGCGCAAATCTCACCAATGGGAAGGCGCACGTGTGTGCGTGAGTGTGTGTGTGTGTGTGTGTGTGTGTGTGTGTGTGTGTGTGTGTGTGTGTGTGTGTGTGTGTGTGTGTGTGTGTGTGTGTGTGTGTGTGTGTGTGTGTGTGTCAAGATGGGGAGTGGGGGGGAGAGAGGTGGCGATGGCTCCGTGTTTCTGTTTCCCATACACCAGTCAGAATATGTCTCGATTGGTCATAGATGTGTACTGCCAGGGCGCTGTGCGCAAAGAGAGACGCTTGAGGCAAATCCAAGGAGGCTGTGATGAAGGTAAATTCAAAATAAAATACAATTTTAAAAAAAATGTCCACACCGGGGATCAGTCTGAGGGAGCGCTGGAAGCAAGCGCCTTTCTTCAGATCTGCCTCTTTTAAATGACCCAGAATGTGTGCGTTTGTAGGTGGTTGAGTGTGTGGATGCGTGTACGTGTGTGAGGATGCGCGCCTGGATGTGAGACAGGACCAGTCCACGGATGAGCTTGAAACTATGCACCGCACACACCGGCGGGGCGGTGCAGACTCAGCCTCCACCAATACAGAGAAAGCAGCTTCATGGTGGCAGCTTCACACTACAAACCTAAATGTTTTGCAGTTTGAACAACTGTGTCAAAACCAGTTTAAAAGATAAAAATCATATTAAAATGCTTGTTGCTGTTTCAATAAACTTCCTGCCACTGTGAGTTGACCAGCATCTGTCACTAACAAATTGGTTCTTTGGTGGGGAAATATTGAAGAAAGTTTAAACTGGCTGACTGAAACCAGATCTAACCAGACAGACTGGTTAGATCTGGATGGATATGTAAGGTGGAATCAAAAAGTGGAGATACAGAGCTTTGCCAAAAAAAAAACTTTTGGATCCCTTAATACGTGTTTTGACTAAATTTGTAGTCTAAATATTTATGACTTTATAAAAATGCAGAGCTTTTTTTCTGAAACGAATTAAGAAATTATTTATATTTGCTAAATATCAGAACAATGAGAAACATGTTGTATTTTGGTAGTTTATCCAGATTTTCTGCAACTTAAACCCATCCTTTAAGTTCCAGGCTGATATTTTGATTTGATGTTTCCGCATGAGGTTCTGACAAGATGTCTGCTGTTTCACTACATCCACAGATCTTCCCACAATTGATGCTGCCACCTTTTGTACTTTATAGTTGATGTGAGTGTTCTTTTAGTACTTACACCTTAAGGAAACATTTTAGACAAATATTGAAATTTTAGTTCAGCCCACAGGACTTTTGTCAAATTATGTATTTTTTTTGCCTCTGAGTCTATAAGGTATTCTGTCTTTTTCTGTTTTTTTTTTGTTTTGTTTAGCTTTGAGTAGTAGCACACTTCCCTGGACTTTCACACACCATATGGAGAAAAGCTATTCTAAACAAGAAGACAATTGTTGAATAAAAAAAAATCCTCCCTCTCACACAACAGAGTAGACATGTCCAAGTTAAGTTAATGTAAAATGACTGAAAAAAAGCACAAAAGTTTGTCGGATGCTCAACAGCAATGCCTAAAATTTCTAATAAAAGACTCTATCACAATTTCTTTATTATTTGTGTTTTTTTTTTTTTTTTGACATTCTGAGAAGCCCTGCCTACATCAGAAAATGTGAGGTACATCAATTATAACTCACAGCATTGTGATTACACAGCGAAAAGTCTCCAGTCCTGCAGAAGCCTCCTCCAATACACACACACAGAAGCAGGAATGGTTTAAACTGAACCGACATCAGAAACTCTGGATTTTTTTTTAACTATATCTCACTGCCACTCAGTGATTTTCATCAGACCTTTCATGATTTCTCCTCCTCTGCTCAAGCTAACACTGAATGCATTAAGCTGGCTGGGGATGTGGACTGAGCATGAGGTGACATGTCAGACAACTTTAGAGGTCAGATGCTTGTGTTCATGATTGTGAGTTTTGCTCCTTTGCACACATTCGTGGACTCAAATATGGCCAAACTGACCACAAAACATTGTGTACATGTATGTCAATCAGGTCTGAGTGAGTATGTGAGCAGACATCGTGTGTTGCATGTGCTTAAAAGCATCACTCACGACGCCACGGGCAATCGGTTTTATGACCGCAGGGTCCATAAATCCCACCTCGTTTTATTGGCCTCCTTCTCTTCCAGTTTCTCGCCTTCTGTGAACCTCCTTGTCTTTCACTGCAGGCACATCCACTAAAGGACGTGAGAGAGAGCACGCTATTATTTAAGAAACAGAAGGAAACCCTTCCGGGTGAAATGTCTGCAATAGGAATCAACTACTCGTTTTAATATCTAACTGGGAAAGCTAGAAGTTTTAGGAGATAATTTTGACTTCTCTAAATCATTAGAAAAATTTCAGAGCTTGTGCCGTTTCAATTTTGTTCACATTGGGATGACTTTACTGATGATTTGACATATCATGTTACTGTTAGTTTTTCTTAAAATAAACATTTGTGCACGTTTTTATGTGTTCTTTCATATTTTTGTCTTAATCCCTGAGTCAGGTTGTGGCAAAAGATGTAAGAAAAATCCCTGAGTCAGGTTGTGGCAAAAGATGTAAGAAAAAAAAATCACATGTGATGAAGCCAGAATCCCATCTATTTTCTGTTACACAGACGAACGAGTGAAGTCAATGAGAAAAGAAATAACTTGTCTTTTACCGTGGGAAAACCTTCAGGACAAAAAGACTCAGGGAGGAAGATTGTCTAGTCAGGGAAGGATTGAAGTTGAAATAAAAAGACAACAAAAAGAAGGAAATGTTCAACCCTGGAGATTCAGACACGAAGAAAAGTAAAGGGAGCACAAATATAAGTTATGGAGAAATACAATTACACTGAACAGTCTACAGTTGCCACATTAAAGCATCATCTAAGACAACAAAAAAAAAACTTTCCAGAAACAAAGGTTTACAGCTAAAACATGAGAATGTCAAACTTTTGAATCCACCCTGGAAAAGTAATATGAAAGCTCCTTTTACTTTTTGAAGGCTTTTATTGACAGACCTTGGTCAGACAACAATATGTGCATATTATTTCCTTTTTTCGAATTAATGAAAATTAAAATACAAGAAAAAACTTTTTTGTGAGCTCGTATTGGAAGGTCTTCTTGATTTCTTTTAAAGTCTCACAACTGGATGACCTTTAAACTTGAAAATCTTTAAAGTCTTAGCAGTACAAATAGCATTGTGTTGTGATGAGGGGTCTATGATTAACCCCTGATGACCTGCTTTTAAACTGTTACTAGTATCTTTAAATTGAAAGTTGCATAATTAAACACTAGATTTCTTTTTATTAGACTTTTTCAAATGTTGCAGAGGGTGCAGGGTACCAACAGAATCCAAAGATCCAAAGTTTAGGTCACCATGTGGGATGTCTTATTTTGATATTTGATGCAAATATGGAAATGATTAAACATTTTTGATCATTAAGGAAATATGATCACAAGGAAATATGCTGCAATACCTACATGAAGGTATTGCAGTTGGGTCTGCCTAAGAGGTGCCAGCATTCAAATGAAAACAAGCAATGATTAAACTTCATTTTAAGGTAAATAATGCAACATTAATTGCATTGAGGTTTTGTCATATGCAGGAAAGGGTTTAATCTAAACTGCTTTGGAAAGATGATCTCATCTAATCTATAAAGCACCCCGTACATACATGCCACACCCTTCTGCACCCCACTCCCTCTACCGGCCCACCCTTGGCTTTTATAGCAGCATGACAGTCATTGGACCAAATCAAGTCGCAGAGCAACCCCCATCATTCCCAACAGGCAGGAAGGTAATTTAATCAGCCAGCTATAGTCTGCAGCAGCGCACACATGGTCATACACACATGCACACACACACGCACACACACACACACACACGCACGCACGCACACACGCACGCACACACACACACACACACACACACACACACACACACACACACACACACACACACACACACACACACACACACACAAATATATGAATTTAAAATTACTCAATTATTGTGAGCAAAAAAATTATATATTACAACTTACAAGATGTATTACAAAAAAAAAAAACTAACTGGATTTACTTGATTAAAACCTAATTCTCATTGGAATGGATTAAATTCCCCAGATCAGTATTTAACAGGATTACACAAGCTAACACCTGACTCAAGACACCTCAGCCCTTTTTGTTTTTTATTTCCTTGAAGAAAAGAAAGAATATGATATTGAGGATGTGTAAGGAAAAAAAAGGGCTAATCTATTTGTAAAGATCAACACTTGTCATTCAGTGATTGTGCAGGGAGGCTGATCAATGAACTCCTCAGGTTTTAATTCTCAAAGGTTCAAAACACTTTCAGTCATTAGTGTAAACGGTGCAGCAGTGATGTATACCGAATGGAGACCAGCTGTCACTCCTGAGGCTTAACAGTCATTACGTGAATATTCATCAGGACAGAGAGTGAGGTGACTCTGTGCTAAGATTCAGCTACTGGACCTAATTAACTCTACATCTACTTAAATATGCAAGACAACTCTCAATGTCTAGTTTAATATAAATATGATTATGAAACCTTAGAGGTAAACATAACAGGAACAAATTAGCTGAACTTTACCTCACTTAATTAATTAGCCCATAACTGATATTTAAAAAAATATAGATTTATTTATGTCCAAGTACAAGATGAAAGCAGAAAAAAGCAAAAACATGGTTCATGTTTTTATATTTTAAACATAAAAGAAAAATCTATATTTCTACTCATTCATATTTAAACAAAAAATTAGAAAAAAACTACATGTATTTCTATTTAAAATTTAATGCTTAAAAAAACTTGCATATTTTTTATTCTCTGTTTCTCATGTTTCTGAGGGGTTTACTTGAGGAACCAGTGTTCTAATATTTCACAGAAGAACGGCAGACAAAACAAATGAATTAACAGATTATATATTTTATGAAATTAGACTTGTAATTTCAACATCATCGTCTTCCTTACTATTACAATATTGTAATACTGCCTAATAAACATGTGGTGGCGCTAAATAATCATTTAAAATAATTTAAATCACCGCAAAGAGTGAGGAACCACACAGGGCCCGTCTTTACAGAATTTTTATTGGCTACCGTAAGTTTTGCGTCAGAGGTGCCCTTTTCTGATTGGACAACGCTCTGCCCGTTAGCCGTGACAGACGTCACACTGCTAGGTGTTTCGAAAATGAAACTGGCTTGTGCCTGACGTTTACTGGGAGGGAAGCGAAAACGAAAATTATAAGGAGTCGTCGTAGAAAAATTTTCCGGAATTTCACATTTCGATTGACTA